AAGAAGGCGTCCACAGGTTTATCACGGGTTAACAGAGAAATGTTCCTGTCCTGTAAGAATGAGCGGACACATGAAGAGAGAACTGATGCAGCCAAACGTCCTGATATAATACTTTATAATACTTTATATATATATACTATATATAATACTTTATAATAGTTTATATCCAGAGGAGCCGGAGGACTCTTTGTTTCAGTAGAAGTCAAATCCAGGATTAAAGTCCAGATCGCTGTGATGTCGACCGCTCTCACGTTTGAGGCGGTGTGCTGAACTTCAGCTGTGACGAAATCACAGGCCTGCTGAGTGTTTGTGCAGCACGTCTACATGTCCCACAGTAATGGATGATCACCATCATCCACACTGAATCTGTCAGACAGACTCAGAAACACAAACAACATTACCATGAGCCAACAGCCCAGAGATGTCCAGGATAGTGGAGAATCTTTCAACCTCCTACATCTGCAGTTTTTAAACACACAAACTGGACGACCTCCAGTGTGAGGAGAAGTTATCATCATCATCATCACTGGTGCTCATTTACATCAGACGCTGCAGAGACAGCAGAGAGATCTTAGTGCAACACAAGACAAATACTTTTTATTTCTATTCAGATTTACGACCAACAGAAACTCCACTAACATCCCTCTAACCAGCTGCCCTGACTCTCAGACTTCAGCGTTACTCTCAGACTTGAACGTTACTTCATCATAAATCAAACAGACATCATCTCTGAACTCGGACCCTGATTGATGCTCCATAAACAAACACGGACGGTCGGTATGTGAGCTGTAATGTAGCTGCTAAAAGGACGTGACCCTGAGGGACACTGGGCCCTGTGTCTCCATGGAGACCAGAGTGTCAGCAGAACCCGGGTCCATGTTCCTGTTCCTGTTCCTGCTGCTGAGTCTCTAACTCTGTTAAAAACACTCATTAGCAGTAAACCTTTGTTTACAGGTCAGTTCAGCCTCAGTTATAGAAGCTTCTCCACTGAACGACAGAGTGAAACCATGTCCTCCATTTCTATGAAGTGATGAATCCACTCTGCAGTCTTAGAGGTCATGTCAGGGTCATCGATGTTAAACAGGAAACAGCTTCAGTTAGAGGAAGTTCATCACACCGGGCTGATCGTAGAGCTCGGGGATAAACGAAGGTTCAAATGGACTCTGTGGATTTTATCACCCCACAGTCTATGAACACATGAGGGTGACGTTTCTGTGTTCGATGTTCCAGGGGTCAGCTTCAGCCACCAAAGGAGACTTTTTACTGAGCAGCGAACACCTGATCGAGATCATCACCAAGCTTCACCGTACCGGAGCCACGGCTGCAGACCAGGAGCAGCTGAGCGTCGACATCTCAGACGAGTAAGGAGCTGTGCAGTCAGGTCTGTGTTTGAGGGGAGAGGGTGAGAGTGAAATAATGACTCTGATGTCTCCATGACAGGTTCCTGGTCCAGTTCAAGCAGGACAAAGTCTGTGTGAAGTTCATCCAGGCGGCCCTCAAGAACGGCAACAGCGTGTCCTGCAAACGCAAGAACAACCGCCTGCTGGAGGTGTCGGTCCCCATCACGGCGTAGAGCGCCCCCTCACCAGAGCTGTTACCGAATGGTCAGATAGGGGGCGCAGTTCTACCATCATCTTCTCAGAAACTCTGCAGAAACATCAGCAGGCCCCGCCCTCAGCCCTGGAGTGACAGTTATTTAGCCTGTTGTGTTGTTGTTGTTGTTGTTCCTTCAGTGTCTTCCTCTCAGATTTATGACGGCGCTGATGTCGCTGTAACCTGATCATGTCATGTGCCACATTCTGGCAGAGAGAGCCCACAGCTGGGTTGCATGCCACAGAAATTGAGTCAAATGTTTCACCAGTGTTTGTAAAACTTAAAGAGTTGAAGATCTCGGTGGGACTCTGAGATGTTCTCCAGCAGCGACTTCACTTGATTGTTCTGCCTGTAAGTTAAATTAGTCTTCAGAGAAAAAGTCATGATGAGGAGTTTGTGACGAGCAGCAGCCCCGACTGTCCCCGACTGTCCCCGACTGTCCTCGACTGTCCCCGACTGTCCCTGACTCAGAAGGCTGTAAACTCCACAGATGAAGTTTCTCTGAAGATCTGAAGTGAAGCTGCTCTTGTTTTTACCTCGGTGTAACCAAAAGAGGATGAAAATGAATCTGATTGTTTGTTCTACGATGTTTTTCTCTGAAAAAAGACAACAGGACGTTCAGGAGGTTTAGGGTAACTGTTGAGACACTTTAGTCTCTGCAGTCACACAGACCCCGTCATGTCAGTGTAACATGTTAGTTTAGGTCAGCAGCTCTAATACTTCTGTTTACATGACGTTACCAAATCTTTGAACATGGAGAGTTGGCAGGACTGACACAGTTTTCCTCAACAGCCACATTAGTCTGAAGCTTTTTGAAGTGAATCCAGAACCTCTCCTCTCCTCTGTGATGAGGTCAATGTTTCAGTCAAAGACCCTAAAAAAGACCATCAGGAGACACAGGTACCTGCATCTTCCAACAGTCCACATTAGAGACTCCAAGCTGGTCTGAAATCAGTCTGAACCTTTTTTTTTTTGTGTGCAATAAATGACCCCCCCCACACACACACACACACACACAGTAGTGAGCTCCCGGCTCTGAGGGCCCCGGCTCTAAGGGCCCCGGCTCTAAGGGCCCCGGCTCTAAGGGCCCCGGCTCTGAGGGCCCCGGCTCTGAGGGCCCCGGCTCTAAGGGCCCCGGCTCTGAGGGCCCCGGCATGGACACAGGCTTTCTTTACTATTTACGCTTTAATTGCTGTGTTTGTGAAAGCGCCGTTCTTGCCGCTGCAGCTTGAGTTCTTGTCGTGCCTGACCCGCTCGAACCGAACGTGGAGTTTTTATTCAAATATTCACCGGACCATCGATTCACGATGTCTCTGAAGAAATACTTTCAGCTTCTGCATCTTTTTAGGACGAGTAAACTTTTCTACACAGATATTTATACATTAGCCAAATCTGATTTTTAAGGAAGCAGCAGAGTGCCACAGGTCCAGGTTTGTCGACCATTATAACCTCGTACTGGGAGTAATGGTCGTGGGTTTTGTACTCTTGATTTGTATATCCACCAGACTCGTCTCTGGTGACTGTGGGAGGTGAACACAGCCAAAGTGGGTGTTGTGGGCTTTAATATCTGGGCTACAATAGTTTGTAAGTTGCTACTGTATATTTTTTCAATGTCACACAAAGATGAGACGGAGGACGTCAGCGTCTGTCCGTCTCACAGTAAAGAGTGAGTTTGAACACTATTTTTGATGTCATCTCTTTCTTGGCAGTGACATCCTCTCTCTCCCTCCCTCTCTCTCTCTCTCTCTCTCTCTCTCTCTCTCTCTCTCTCTCTCTCTCTCTCTCTCTCTCTCTCTCTCCCTCCCCTCTCTCTCTCTCCCCCTCTCTCTCCCTCCCTCCCTCTCTTTTCTCTGTTTCGTATTTGAACAACGGCTCGATCTGCAAATTGATGTCTGCATTCTCGTGTGCCTAATGTCGACCTGTGCTGAAAAACACTTAGAAATGTTTGAATAGAACTCAGTGTAACATTTACAGTAATCTTCTTTTTTTTAAATTAAATAAAGTCAGTCATAAATACTCGTCGTTTCTCTCTGGTAATGTGTTATTTTTCCTTTTTGAAGGTTAATTCCAGCTCTAATCTCAGACAGATCACTGACTCATGTGCGGTTTCTCATGACCGTGGATGAGGCAGCAGGTAAAACTTCGTCAGGTTCTTCAGTCTCTAGTCAGCTGGGTTGTTATTTGTCAGCAGTATCTGCAGATGTTGTACCAGGACAGAAAAGTCTCAACAGCTCTGACTCTGAACAACCAGACCTTGTCGAGCAGCTGGCCAGATGTTTTCCATCACCTCCAGGGAAAGCTCCTGGGGTTAAATTCCGCGGCTCGGGGAGAGCTGCTGACATCAGGTCTCCAAGGAGCAGCCCTCAGAGTGAACACAGCATGGTAAAAATAGCAGACCATTTTGGGCTACCCAGTACCCGGTTCCCACCACTCTGCAGGCTGGGAAAGGAAGGAGGAGCCCCAGCCTCCCAGTGGATGTTCAACTCTCAGAGGGAGAGTTAACCTTTGTAGCCCCAAAGTTCACCAGTAGGGGGACTTTGACATCTCATAAACTCGGATCAACACATCTCAACAAATCTTCCCTTCACTGTGACACCAACATTATTCAAACAGACCTTCTGGTTTCATAGTTAGAACCTTTTTATTCTGGGTATGACGTTTGACATGACAGAGAAGCTGAAATAAAGGCCTCGGGTATTTGAAAAAGCTGTGAAAACCTTCTCCTCAGAAAGTCTGGACTTTCCACGCAGTGATTGAGGACTACCTCAGACCAGATCAACAGAAGATAGTCAATCAATAGTATATATATATTCAATATAGTCAATCAATCAACAGGAGAGTGGAGCTGAGGTTTCCTCATGTCCAGGTTCAAGTCGTTCTCTGTGAAGACGAGGTAAACTCTGGAAAGGTGAAGGACATGGGAACAACAGTCTCATCACAAAGACTCTCAGTTTGGCAGGTCTTTGGTGCCATCCTGTGGATTTAAGAGCACATTACAATCTAGGAGACACAGGAGGAGGAAGACAACGGTAGTTCAGCACTGATGGAAGGACCCTGAGAAATAATAAGTTTGAGGAAAAGAAGATTTTAACAACAAAACTCTGATTTAATAATCCTCTCTAAAGGAGCGTTTGTCCTCAGGATTATACTTCATTCTGGACTTTGTGGAGTTCTGCTCTCCTGGTCCAGCTCTTTGGTTTCTTACAGAGACACAGTTTACCTGCTGAACAGAGTTTATCCTGGAGGATTCACAGCTCAGGGTGTTTTTGTCCTTCTGGGTCAAATAAATGAGGTCAGCTGTAGTTTTAGTTCTGTTGGAGCTGTAGGTTCGGTTCTGGAGTGTTAGTGAACATCTTTAGTACTGAGATATTTCATTAAATATTATACATTATAATATTATAATATAATATTCATTAAACATTAAATGCTCTCCTGAGGTTAGAAACATGTTCAGGGTCTGCTGTCACTGGATCCAGAGAAAGGATCACTTACACAACTGTAGTCCAGTCTGTAGACCAGTCTGTAGACCAGTCTGTAGTCCAGTCTGTAGACCAGTCTGTAGTCCAGTCTGTAGACCAGTCTGTAGTCCGGTCTGTAGTCCTGTCTGTAGACCTGTCTGTGGTTCAGTCTGTAGACCTGTCTGTAGACCTGTGTTTGGTCCAGTCTGTAGACCAGTCCTTAGTCCAGTCTGTAGACCAGTCTGTAGACCTGTCTGTAGTCCAGTCTGTAGACCTGTCTGTAGTCCTGTCTGTCTCCTTCCACTCCGGGAACGATGTGAATAATGTAAATGTGTACAGACCTGCAGACTGAGTCAGTCTGTCTCTCTCTGTCTCTGTCTGTCTCTCTGACTCTGTGTGTCTTTATCTCTCTGTATCTCATCAGTGTGTTGTGATGGTGCAGCTTTGATAACATTAACTACTCTGTGGTTTTTAGATAACACTCTAATGAGAACCAGATTTAAGAAGCACAAAGAAAGGCTAATGTGAGCGGTAAAGACCACAGCAGCTGTGGGCGTCTCTCACTCTTACACGGTCAATAGGGATGAGAGATGTCCGCCAAAGGAGATGTGGTCCACGATAAAACCGATAACGATAAAATCTGATGGAAGAAGCTGAAATAAAACCACCTGAAGGAACGTGATCTTGATAATGTGCCTTTATGCTTTAGCCTCGTAGCTCAGAGCCCCTCCTCCTGTTTTTAACACCAGCTCACTGATGTCCTTCACAGAGAAGAACCACTGAGCACATCTTCATACAACCTTCTACCATGAAGTGACTGCAGGAGTGTGGGCGACCTTCTCCGCTCAGATCCAGTCCTGGTATCTCCACAGGGTTGGTTTGGATGGATAAATATCCTTGTAAAAAAGTCAAACTCCTGTGGTTACAGCTTTCTCTTCCAGGTTTTAAAATCTTCATCACAGTATAATTCTGTTCTTCCTTTTACAGATCTGGGATCAGCTCTGAGGCTGACTCTGTCAAACGTTGGAAAACAAACGAACAGATCAGCTCTGTTCTGTTTCTGTGGTATCTCAGGATATTTGAGGATTAAAAAAAACAGACATTAATAGTTTTCTTCTTGGTCACTTTCTGCTTTTTAGGTGTTTTCAGATGAACAGAAATGAAAGAGAAAAGAGGCTTTGAGAAAAAAAACAGATTACTGCTGAGTGACGGTAAAAACTCGTCTATGACTGCAGAGGGAGGGCCTCATAAATCAGATCATTTTCAACAAAAGATACAGTTAATTAGATCTCCTCTGAAAAAAATAGATTTTTAATCCAGACTTTCTCATTTCAAAATTTCAAATTTCCAATCCAGTCTTCTTCTTCTTCTTCTTCTTCTTCTTCTTCTCCTACTACTTCTACTACTTGCACCAGGATTCATGTACGTTCTTCAGCCTGTAGCTCCTTTGGGACGTCAGGCTTTAAAGAGACAAAAATATGCCCACCCTAACAAATGTGATATCCTGACAGTGACGCTGACTCAGTATTTGCACAATAAGAGGATCCATTTAATGATCGGATTCTACAGAGAAATAACGAAACAAGTTGGACTGAAAACAGAAGGTAGAGGCTTCAGGAGGGGTATGAAGTTTGGTGTCCGTGTCTCCAAACCTGGAGGGTCACTGCTGTGAGAGACAGTAAGAACGAAACCTTCGTCCTCCTGAATCTAAGTTTTCAGACTGTTACTCAGAGAGTAAGATCTGAAAATCAAGACAGACATCGGTCTTTACTGTGAGGTTTTCTGCTTTTCTCTTCGTCTTTATTGACCATGATCTGAACGACATGTTGACCCTCAATGACCCCGTGTGGGCTGAGGCGGACAGGTCCTTTTTATCATGTGTTCCTAATGAAAACCTGGATGGTACATGAACTCTGATATTGTCCTCAGTGTAACAGACGTCAGTGATGTTTGTATCACTGACTTGAATTGAGCTGAATTAGCACCGACCCCCGTCTGCAGGAGCTGACAGCTTCTCTTTCTGCTCCTCTGGTCAGTTTCTCTCTTTCTGACCCCCTCTGTGGGAAACATGCCCACTGTTGACAGGTACGTCATACAGCCCACTTCACTCTGTCTCTGTGTGTGAAAGTATGAAGTATAAATAAAAGAAGTTAAAATCATCTGAAGGAGGAAACACACGTGGAGGTGATGGAGACATTAAATTCCTCTGGTTATTATTATTATTTTGTTTTAACTTGTTGTTTCTTCAAACTGTGATTTACTGTGATCTGCTTTAGATTTCCTCTTTCATGGTCTCTCTCTCTCTCTCTTTGTTATAAAATATATAATCCTGAAGTTTCTGAGCCCACACAGACCCTAACAAAGACGAGGGTCCTGTGTTTAAGAGCAGACCCCCAGTCTTACATTAAGGCCCCCGGCAGCCTGTCCGTCAGTCTGGAGGGAGGGACAGGGGAGGTCTGGAGGAGGTCTGATTAATGACTGCTACTGGGTGGTGGAGAGTCGGTGTCCCCACTCACCCTCATGTCACCAGCCCACTCAATGGTTTCATCAATTTGCAGCCATCATCACGTCAATAGGGAAGAATGGAGGGGGGAGGTGGGGTGAGGACTGGGGAGGGAGACGGGCTTCTGCTGCACCATCTGTGGAAAACTGAGGAGTCAAACGAGACGTGAGAGGATGAACACAGGAGAAGACGTGACAGACAGGTGTCCACGTTTTAAAACAGAGCCAACAGTTGGGTAAACGTGAGTTTTTGTCCTGCAGCAGGACACATCACAGAGTTTAATCCTCTCTATCTCAGAGTTCGGTCAACAACATGATCAGGTGTTTGTCTGAGGAGGGGGTCAGTCTGTGTGAACAGAGGCAGCTGTGGAGCTGATATGGAGGAGCAAATATCTGAACACATCGTTAGCTGCTCATTTACAGACATTAAGCAGGAGCTCAGGCAACAAAGACGGCGTGTCTGAGTTTATATTTCTGCCCCCGACTCCAGAGTTCAGAACCGTCATTTTAGGATTTATGAGAGTTTCTCTCTTCACAGGAGTCCTCCGCTCCTGAGCAGATATCTGTTCTTACAGATAAACATGTTGTCCAGATACTTTCATCGGTCTGTGACAGTCTGCATAAAAAAAAACATTTATAGGGAAACAGTGTCGAGTTCATTGATCATATTCTGGACCTGATCAGGCCTTTTATTGATCTACAAATTCATTCATTCATCCAGAACAATATTGTCGACAACAGTCCCCTCAGGTCCGTCTCCATTCTTCAGCTCTGCTGGAGTCCAGATCTCACTGTGTCTCCGGTTCTGTTCAGAACCTTTATGGACTGAACTTCTAGGTGCAGTCGAGGGTGGAGGAGGTCCAGTTCTGCAGGTAGAGGATCACAGCGCTGCTTTTTGTGGATGATGTGGTTCTTCTAGTTTCGTCGAGCAGTGACCTTCAGGTCTTGCTGGGGTGGTTCATGGCCGAGTTTGACACCCTGATCTGAATCAGAACCTCCAAGTCTGAGGCCATGGTCCTCAGTCGGAGAAAGGTAGATAAACTTCCAGGTCGGAGGGGAGGTCCTGCCTAACTGATCAGTGGTGGTGAAGAAAGAGCTGAGCCGTAAGGAGAGACTCTCGATTTACCGGTCGATCTACGTGCCGATCCTCACCTATGGTCATGAACTTTGGGTAATGACCGAAAGAACAAGATCGCAGATACAAGCGGCTGAAATGGGTTTCCTCCTCAGGGTGTCCGGGCTCAGCCTTAGAGATAGGGTAAGGAGCTCAGAGGAGAAGCCGTCTGGGCTTCCCTCCTGAAGCTGCTGCCCCACGACCCGGACCAGGATGAAGAGGAAGAAAACAAAACCAGGATATGAGGCAAATCGAGCAGCTCCAGTAGAAAAGTCGAGGTGTTGCCTGTTGACTCCAGGAACTAACTTGTCTTCAGCTAAAGCCAAGAATGGTCCAGAGGTATCAGTGCGGATAATCTTTCTCCATCAAGGGGTTCCACTAAGCTCTGCTAATGCTAATTAGCTTAACATCTGTTTTTTTTATTGCAAATGATTTAGCAAATATAATTGTTCCAGCTGCAGTTACATGAGAAACATCTGGGCTGGGACCTGAGGTGGAAGCAGAGGAAGGTCGGGAAAGACCCCAGAAGAAGGTCGAGTGAAGAAACCACCAGAGAAGGTGTGATGGGAGGAGGGGTCAATTAGGGAAATGAAATCTGCTCTTCAGTGTGAGATGGATGAAGTGACAGCAGACCCCTCTCTGAACCTGTCCGTCCACCTCTGTCTGAAGGACAGTCTGCAGACTGCAGAGGAGCAGATCTGAGGTCATTTCTCTTCTTCAAAAACATATTTCACTTCAGATCCCAGAAGATTCACACTGATCAATCATTAACACTGATCAATCATTAACACTGATCAATCATCTGCTCTTCACAAAGAAGGATGCTGATTTAGCTCCGTGGTTAAACACTCACACAGAGATCTGACTCCTCGTACTCCCTCTCCTCCTCACACTTCCTGCTCCTCCTAAACTGTCACTAAAGGTAAAGACATCCCAAAAACTTCTTCTTTAACTTCAGGAACTTTAAAGGTCAAAGGTCAAACCCATGATGAGGCTCAAAGGTCTCAGTTTCAGCTCCTGAACAACACTGAACATTTATTATTGAATGATTTTACAGACCAACACGCTGTTGTTTGTCCGTTTACACTGAAAATAAGCAGCACAGACAAATTTCAGCTGAAAGACAAAAGAGAAATAATCCAGCTGATGAACCTTTAACATAAACTCCAGGACGCAGCGTCTTTGTAAAGGACACATGTCATCCACGGGGCTCAGCGCCTCTTTTATCCAAATTGCTCTGAGACAATAAATCACTAAAGAGGTCATTTCAGTTTGTTGTTTATCTTATAAAGGAACAGTAGACGTGTTTATTTTAGAGACTTCTGGGTTTTTGGAGTTTCTTATCGTAACAGCGCTGTCGATGTTTTAGCCGCTGATTTTAAAGGAAGGATAAGAGATTTAAGAAAGAACAGAGGTGATGAAGAGTTATGTGCTCCTTTCATCACCGAACACCAACCTCTCTGACGCACACACACACACACACACACACACACACACTGATTAAACCCACAACCATGGATTTGTGGGCGTGTCCTTTGACCACAAGGCTAATTGAACCGTCTCCATCTCTGACAGGATGAGGAGGACCTCCAGGCAGGAGTCAGTAATGAATGAAAACACTGATGACAATGTCTCCTGTCTCCATTTTTAACCTTTCCTGCATGTTTTTACAGATCACCGAGGATTCAGGCTGTTTAACTCAAATATCTCAGTAACTGAAGGATCAGTGATCATGAAAACGGTAATTAAGACCCCAAATAAACTCTTTACTTTGAACCGAACAACGTTGTAGAGAGAAGGATAACAGTGAGAGCAGGTGCTGGGAGCTGGCTGAAGTCCCGGTTCTGTCTCACCCTGAAGGGGGTACCAGTCTGACCCTGAAGGGGGTACCAGTCTGACCCTGAAGGAGGTACCAGTCTGACCCTGAAGGGGGTACCAATCTGCCTGAAGGGGGTACCAGTCTGACCCTGAAGGAGGTACCAGTCTGACCCTGAAGGGGGTACCAGTCCGCCACAACCACCCACTCACGATACAGTCAGAACAGAGACAACACTCATTCATGTATGCAGTTAAAAAAACATTTACAACTGTATTTTCATATTAAATGGGTCTCATTAACAAACTAATACTTCCACTGGTGTTCGGCTCGTTCATGTTCGGGTGTCATGGTTCCTGTCATGGTTCCTGTCATGTGGTCACCGTCTCTGTTCTCCAAACAGGTCAGCAGGCAGAGCTCAGGTACGACAGACACTTTCCTGAAGATCCTCAAAGTTGATGATTGACGCGTCTCTCCCGACATTCAGCTGAGATGAAGAAACACCGCTGCTTCAGGTACTGACCAATCAGAATCAAGTATTTATAGAATGATAGGTGGATTATAATAAGTTCATTTGCACATCCGTCTTTCTTTCACAGCAGATGGTTGATGATGATGATGATGATGATGATGATGATGATGATGATGATGATGATGATGATGGTGGTTAGCAGTAAAACTTTGGTGTTACTTTATCATTTCTTCATGTGTGGAGAGAAAAAACTTTGATTCTTTAAACAAAAAAACAGACAAACATGTTTTTTTTTTAACGCACAAAATACCAAAAGGCTGAAACTGAAACATGAGTTTATATTTGAGGACTGAAGACTGAACTGTCTGGTTGATGGAGACAACTTTGATTACAGTTACAGACAGATTACAGTGTGACATTTATGATAGTCACACACCAGTGGAGGACACACACTGGGAGGAAGGACGGTCAAGTGTCCTGCCCAAGGACACAACAGACAGACAGACTAAGGATGGAGGGGGAATCGAACCGCCAACCCTCCAGTCGTTGGATGAATGTTTGATCAGCTTCAGTATCTGCTGAAGATGTAGTTTATCCACTGTTCAGTTTTCTCTGTGAAATAAAATCCACTGAAGCTGACCCTCCGAAGACAACGATATCCACCAAACTGAAGGTCAGCTGTTTGAGAAGAGTTAAACTCATGTCCCTCTCTCCTGTAGACCATGTTAGAGGAGCAGCATGTTTGGATCATGAGTATTTTGGGAGCCTGACCCTGGAGAGCTGTCTGCTGATCCCACAGAGTAACAGATGTTGAAGTCCTCTGAGCAGCGTCCCGTCCTCAGCTCTGTCTTTGTCTGTGAACGTGTGTCTGTCTCCTCCTCTCATTCACACTCCTCTGTTCAGCTCTAATTATCTCTCTGTCCTGACTAAAGACTTAAACCCATTGTACTTCCATCTCACTGTTTACTGCGCTAACTTATAATCACACCCCCGCCTTTCCCTCCTCTTCTCCTCCTCTTCTCCTCCTCTTCTCCTCCCCTGCTCCTCCCTCTTGTCCTCTTCATTATGGCCCATTCTCAGCTGCGACGGCTATAATTAATCAACCTATTTTGAACTACGTTGAACCTTCCAACCCTGAACACCCACCTCTGTTCACCCAGGAAGTCTTCTGTTCCCCCGCGGTCCACAGGGACAATCAGGACAAAACGAGGACATGACAATAGAGACAACAACAGAGACCGAAAACAGAAATTAGACCAGAAACCACAATAGGACACAGACAGCAGGAGGACAACAGGTTTTTATTAGCCTGTTAGTATAACCCAGGGATTCTTGTTAGCCCCACTGAATTCTGGGAAACATTGTCCTGTTGAACTTGATACTGGCGTCGTCTGAGCAAACCTGAGTACATACGGTCAGCTGCGGTACAAGAACGTGAAATCAAACTTTGTACGAATAAAATGTTAGTTTCAAATATCAGGACAATTACCAAATCAACCAATCACAAATCAGCCTGATCAATCACAAATCAACCTGATCAATCATAAATCAACCTGATCATACCAACACTGAAACAGAATCAGATTCTCCTCTTCCTTCTCTTCTTTATTCCTTCTCTCCTCTTCCTTCTCTCCTCTTCTTTATTCCTTCTCTCCTCTTCCTTATCTCCTCTTCCTTTATTCCTTCTCTCCTCTTCCTTCTCTCCTTTTCTTTATTCCTTCTCTCCTCTTCTTTATTCCTTCTCTCCTCTTCTTTATTCCTTCTCTCCTCTTCCTTCTCTCCTCTTCTTTATTCCTTCTCTCCTCTTCCTTCTCTCCTCTTCTTTATTCCTTCTCTCCTCTTCCTTCTCTCCTCTTCCTTTATTCCTTCTCTCCTCTTCCTTCTCTCCTCTTCCTTCTCTCCTCTTCTTTATTCCTTCTCTCCTCTTCCTTCTCTCCTCTTCCTTCTCTCCTCTTCTTTATTCCTTCTCTCCTCTTCTTTATTCCTTCTCTCCTCTTCCTTCTCTCCTCTTCTTTATTCCTTCTCTCCTCTTCTTTATTCCTTCTCTCCTCTTCCTTCTCTCCTCTTCTTTATTCCTTCTCCCCTCTTCCTTCTCTCCTCTCCTTTATTCCTTATCTCCTCTTCCTTCTCTCCTCTTCCTTCTCTCCTCTTCTTTATTCCTTCTCTCCTCTTCCTTCTCTCCTCTTCCCTCTCTCAGGCCACATTAGAACCCGTCCTGTCAGAGCAGTTTAACCCTTTCGCCTCTTCAGTTCAGAGAATCGCCCACCAGGGTTAACCTCGCTTACATCTGTGTGTGAATGGAGACCACCACAGCTGTGTGTGTGTGTGTGTGTGTGTGTGTGTGTGTGTGTGTGTGTGTGTGTGTGTGTGTGTTCCTGACATCTGTCTCATGAAGCGTCTTCATCAGCAGTAAGATGTCCCTCCCTGCCGACAAAGATTAAATATTATTCCAGTGAACTTTTGTAACAAACTCTAAACTCTGATGTTTTTGACCCTCTGATTCGGTTTCACAGCAGAGACGGTTAACCATGAATTTGAGTAACTCTTCAACTCTGAGCCAAACCCCCAAACTGAGTCTGGGTCCAAAGATGAGCTTCAGTTTGACTCTTTGCTCCACCGCTGCTGCTCAGGTTAACTCCTCGGGTCCTTTTCTGTCCCTCTGATCAACATGTCCAGAGAGTCCATGTCAGTGTCCTCAGGTTTGTCTCTCTGCTTCTTCATGACTTTACTGGAAAAGACTGAATTCAAACAGACAAACAGAGGAACCAACACCTGATCGTGTGTTAAATACAAACTACATTGATTTAATAAATGAGTGAGTGAATGAATGAATGAATGTGAGCAGTGGTTAATATGTGATCATAAAACAAGAATAAGGTGAACCTCATTCCTGTGATTTCTCCAGCAGCCTGTCTTAAAGCTCGTTCTTTGGTGATCCGAGGTTCAGCTTCACTAACATGGAAATGAAACGACCATAAATGACTTTTCTGTTAAATTAACAAACATAATATCTCTGACTCGTGTGGATGTTGAAAGGCGGCGTCTTTTATAATCTGGAATGATGGGATATTTGTGCTTGGACATCATCGCCATGATAAGCAGTCGGCTGTTTTTATTGAAAGGTGAGATAGATCCTCTTATCATCATCATCATATAACACAGAAGAGATCACAGAGTATTAATTATTTTACAGCTGCCTTTTACAGCCGTCTTCCTATCCTGATGCTTCACACATTATTATTACGACCCGTGTGTCTGTGGAAAAAAAGGCCTTATCACCGACCATCTGATCCAGTGTCAAACTTTATAACCTTTAGTCCTAAAGAGAAATCAAACAGACGTTAGTATTTAAGGAGGAGGTCTTAAACAGTCACAGTATCTGAAATCTTTATGGTAGATCTGATGTGGATCTAAGTTTCTCCTCTCAGAAGGACTGGTTAAGTTTTTTCGTTTTCACTCTGGACTTCTCTAAACCCCGCCCCTCTGACTCGACAGCGGTCTGCAGGTTCTTTATAGTCACCTGTGAGTCCCTGTGATCATAAATCCTTGAATATAGGACTCATACAACAACAACTCAAAGTCTTCACTGAGGACAACTCCTAAAACCAGAACATCGTCTTTGTGTTGGACTGAACAGGGAAATGTGCTTTTAATGCTGCGACCATCAAATCAAGTTTCCCTCTCAGAACCACTGAGCTCTGTGACCCACAGAACTCTTCTGTCTGTACTGAATGTTAGTGGAGGGGTTTGTTAGACACAGGGGCATTGTGGGTACCAGGAGGTCAGGAGCAGAAACACCTGCTATGGTTGTTGAGGAGGAACCATTTTACCAGTGAAGTACAGAGAGAGGAAAACTCAGAGTCTGTGTTTATGTCAGTACTGAAGTCTACAGACATCACACCGTCCGTCATATAACCACACTCAGATAACACACACACACACACACACACACACACACACACACACACACACACACACACACACACTCACACACACACACACACACACACACACACACACACACACACACACAGAGTGAAGGTTGTGTAGTGTCTCTGTGAAGTTGGTCAGCAGATGTCGGTGTGTGTCTTTACACTCCTGTTATTGCAGGACAAACACCAACAGTTTGTTTTCCCAGAGCTCTGAACTTTTCTTATCAGTCCTGCAGAAACTGGACGCAGGAAGTCGGTCTGAGACTGTAAAGGTCCACACTGTGGAGCTTCAGAGAGGAACCAGGTCAGCGTGAGTCAAAATGTCTTTTTTATAATGAATGTATTTCACTTTTACTGAATCATAACCGACTGGATTCACAGTCTTTATTTGTGTGATTAATAAATGCCAAACGACCACACAGGATGTGGTGTCACCTGTCCGTGTCTGTTTGTGTGTCTGTGGTTTTCAGGGAGAGAAAATGAGTTTGCTTTCTCTGGGTTTACTGCCCCCTTAACAGCTACACTGTGTGCCGATAAATGATAATGGCAGCGCTGAGGGCCGATAAGAGCAGGCGGGTTTCTGTCAACCTGAGCAGGCTGTAAAATTTAATGAAGAGTTAGTTGTAAAGTGATGAATTACTTCTCTCCAAAGTGAGATTAAAGCAATTAAGTCAATATAGTTATCAAGAGTGTGTTTGAGGACCTGGTGAACCTGCAGGACAGTGTGAGACGGTTACACCCCAATCACACCTGAGCCAAAGATCACACCTGAGGTCAAACGGCGAGAGCATCAACAGACGAGGAAGAAAGAAGAATAAGCAAATACAAAAACAGACGAAAGAAAGAAAGACAGAAAGAAAGAAAGAAAGAGTGAGTTCTCTCTCTCCCGGACCTGCTGACCCTGTCCTCAGTTTTTGTGTTATATTTGGACTCCTAACTAAGAGGTCTGGCCTGATACAGCAGTGCATGAGTGTTAATAACCCTGTGAGGGCAGTATATACTCTGTCCCTGTCCTACTGAGCTCCAGCCAATCACAGGGGAGTAAAGTTTATGGCGCTGTTGGGTGAGAGAGAGGTTTCCGTTCAGTTTCAGTGTGACCGGAGAGGTTTTACGCACGGACCTCAGAGGGAGAGGGTCAGGGAGAGAGAGAGAGGTTCTCGGGCTTAGAAGAGCAAGAATATGAAAGTATCTGTTCTGTTCACGCGTGTTCTGACACTGGAAAACAGATTCAGGTTTGTGACAAAAGTTCTCCTCTCCAGAGTCTCACAGTGAGGGACAGAAATCAGGAAGTTTCTGAGAGGAGACAACGGGAGACGACATGCCAGCCGTCATGGAGAAGGCTCAGAACTTTCGCATTGATGCGCTTCTGGCGCACGACACTGGACCCAGCAGGGGTGAGAGTGGAGGTCTGTCACCGGGGGGTCTCAGCAGGAGCCCGGGGGGGAGTCCGGTGTCACCCTTGAGCTCGGAGACACCTTCTCCTCACCCAAACACAACAAACTCCCCTCCAGTCCACCCCAGAGTTCTGACCAGTCCTAAACTCGTTCATCTGTCCCGGTCCGGGTTCGCTGCTCTGCGTCAGGACGGTCTCCTTGGAGTACAGCCGGGCTCCGTGTATCCTCTGGCGGCCCTCGGAGGCCAGCACAGCTCCTTCATATACCCCGGCTTCTCACAGCTGCTCCATTCGTACCCAGAACAGCTGAGGGCGGCTGCCATGGTCACAGGACACCCGCTGGAACCCTGGATCAGAGCCGGGATGATGATTCCTGGAGTGGGTGAATATGGAGGTAAGAGGCTCTCTGACTTCAGTAAAGGACCCTAAGATCATCAGAGGGACAGAGCTGTCGTTTGAGTTTCATTTTTTTAGTTGAATATAGAAGAGTCAGTCTGTAAAGTTAGTCTATATAATAATCATCATACATTTTATTTATAAGCACCTTTACAGACACTTTACAGAGTAAAAACAACAGGATAAAAAAATAAAGCTTATACAGGCTATTACCTCTAAACCTCAATAAAAGTTTCTTTATAACTAACTGTAAATATAAATGAGTTCAGTACATAAATCTGAGCAGTGTCTGAGAATATCAGTTTTATTTTTACAGACTTGTTAGAAACCATCAGTGTTTTTCTGTTAAATTATAACATGAATTTAAATAGTTTGTATTTTTACAGAAACTGTTAAATATTATTAAAACAGGAAGATCTGCTCACTCAAAGGTTCTCCTTTAGTTTAACACTCAGCAGAGACTGGAGCCTCGTACCTGTAGATGTGAGTTTGTTGACCACCCTTCAGAAGATCCATAACTCTGTGATGCTCTTTAATGTCTGAACATTTATCTTCTATATTATGAATGACTTTAACGGTGAAGGTAACTCCAGGAATAGACCCTCTTCTTAATCAAATGATCAGATCCACCATGTTTCATCAGGTTAATGGTCTGTCTGTGATAGTTTATTACATCTTCTCCTCCATCTTACCCAAACATCAGATAAACCAGCAGGACAGTTTTACAGACAGGTCCGAGTCCAAACAATGAAGTGTAAGCAGATGAGAAGATTGATGATGAATGTGTTGATGATTGGTTTTAATGAAATGATGTTCAGACTCGTGTGATAACTTCCTCCTCTCTCTGTTGTCCTCTCTCAGGTCCGGCTCAGGCTGGTTTGTTAGGGAAGTGTCGGAGGCCCAGGACCGCCTTCACCAGCCAGCAGCTTCTAGAATTAGAGAACCACTTCAAACTCAACAAGTACCTGTCCAGGCCGAAACGCTTCGAGGTGGCCACCTCTCTCATGCTGACTGAGACTCAGGTACGAGTCAGGAGTTGGAGGGTTTTTATGTTTCCCTGATCCTTAAAGTACATCTATCTATCTATCTATCTATCTATCTATCCTTCTCATCGTCTCAGTAAGATCACTTCATCCTGCAGGGACATGTTCAAATGTCAGCTGATGTGTTTACAACAGAAAGATGATTTAACATATAAATGCTGCTGACTGGACATCCCTGAGTTTTGGCTGCATTGAACTACCAATACACCTCTGACCTCTGACCCTTTATTGACCTCTATCATCTAAAAAAAGTACATTACTTTACTCTCCATTTTATTTATTTCAGTTCTGTCGGAGACTTTCTCTCTGTCTTCCTTTCAGTTAATTTTCTTCTAACTACCAAAGACACGCCTGTACTTGATGTGGCGAGGAATCCTGTTAATTGTGTGTTGAGTGCAGTAGCCTCTGTATATAAGCTGCCAGCTGAGCTGAACTGGTGACCCCTGCTTTTATTCAAAGCAATAAGACTACAGCTCACCCACCCAGGGACAGATGTACGGTGTTCCTCTGTTTTTTACATTTTCCAACCAGCCACTAAACCTTGTAAACCTGAATATGAACTGATCCCACACCAAACTCCAGCAGTTTAAGTTGTGTTGCTTTTTTAACAGGTTAAGATTTGGTTCCAGAACAGACGAATGAAGTGGAAGAGAAGTCGTAAGGCCAAGGAACAAGCGTCTCTGACCGCCTCAGTGACAGATGCAGAAAGAAACGGGCTGGGAGAACTGAAGCCTCAGAGCGATTCACAGAGCTCCAGCTTGGATGATGAAGAGGAGATGGATGGGGAGAATGAAGATGAGAAAAATGAAATAGAAGTGTTAGAGGGAGATTCTTTTAGCTCTGTGCTCTTCATGAGACAGACTGGAGGAGCAGGAAACTACAGCTCTTATTCAGAAGAGGAGCTGGGTGAGAGAGGCCAAGGAACAAGAAGTGCAGCTTTCCAATAGTTCTAATGCTCAGCATGTTTGTGTTGTATGTCCTGATCTGTTCAGTCCTCTTGTAAAGAAAATAACAGATCACAAACATTGTGTCATGAGGAGATGGATTGTGTTTCCACAGCCTGACCTGCAACGCCGAACAAACATCAGCGTCTCACATCAGCTAAACAAGACAACATCAAACCAGAAGAGTCATGACTTCAAGATGAAGAGAGGACCTGAATATGTAGAAGATCTGCTGTAGAGCATCGAGGTTGACAGCACTTCCACAAAAACATACAGTGGCTGTAAAATCCCTGAGTGTTGCTTTACTATCAGTTCACCACTGCCTGCTGCAGTTCCTCTACAGGTGTCCCACTGTCTAAAAACAAATCCTTATTTTCTACATGACTGTTTATTTCATCCACTGGGACCCTGTGATTTTACTGTAGCTATCATGTGGTTCCCATGTTGTAAAGGCATACTTAAGATTGTATGTTATTTTATTGCAGTGATCTAAAGACCCCTCCTCATATAGCTACATAAACTCTATTGTTTTTACATTTACTGTTGACTCTACATTATCTTGTGACCTGTCGTGTTGTCAGTATAATTTAATTTCATAGAATTTAATATATAATTTTGTGTGTAGAAAAGTTTGAAAATAAAAACTGAGTTCAAGTGTTTTGTATTAACAGTGACTTTAAGGCGGTAAAAACGCAGTGTTGAAACCAGATCACGGGAGGATTATATTTCACAGATGGGATTAAAAAATACATATTTTTTATGTTTAATGGGGCAAAAAATCGGGCAGAGATTCAGAGAGTTATCATTAATATGGTTGGACATTCATACTTACCTTAGAGCACTGGAGGACCTATCCAAGATGGCGGACGCGCTGATACGAGAGCTCCAAAGGCTTTGAGGCGTCTACGTAAAACTCGGGCGGTTTACTTCGACCTTTTTGTCCTGTTTCGGCTGTCGTTGTTGTGTACTTGTTGTCATGGTAACGCCACGCTAACCAACTTCTCACGCATCTTCTAACTGCAGTTCTCAGTATTTTTAATTACCGGAATTATAAAAGTATCAGCGGTTAACGATCTTAGAGGTCGACGTTTTGGAGAAGGTAAGGAGCGGGTTCAGTTTTTAACCGAGTCTGACATGATAGTTGGGGTCCTTAGGGGTCATTTTTCTGTCAGTGTCAGCTGTAGACTGAAACAGTCAAACAGTCCGTCTGTCAGCGTGTGTTTCAGTCAGCTCCTACAGTTAATAATAATCATTTTAAATAATAATAGTAATAATAATATTTTTTTTTAATAATAATAATAATAATAACTTTATTTTCACTTTTAAAAACAGATGTTTACAAAGTGCTTTGACCTGTAGTCGTAGAGCGCATGGAAAAAGACAAAAACAAAAAGATCAGTAAAAACAGAATTAAAGAATTAGGTTTTCACTTGACGTCACTTCCGTGTTACGCGGCACGCGCGCAATACAGATGGCGAGCAGGAAGTGAGTCGCTGCTGTAGAGACCAGCAACAGGCCGAAGTTCTGCTCCGTTTACGGCTGATGGACTCGATCGAACAGGGGAAAAAACAAGAGGTTTTATCGTGTTTCCAAAGTAGTGTTACACAAAGAGAGAAAGATGTCAGAAACTGACTGAAAAACTCCGAAAAAAACGTCTTTTTAATCTCCGCCTGCGGCAGTGGTTCTGAAGTCCAGTCCTGGAGACCCGAGCCCTGCATGTTTTGGATGTTTCCCTGATTCAGATGATCAGCTCGTTATTATTAAGACATTTCAGAGCTCGATACCGAGCTGATCATTTGATCAGCAGCGAAGAGGGAAGAGCCCAGCGCCGAACCCCGTGGACGGTGTGAGGCCGGTAGCGGCCCCTGTCGTTCCGGGATCCGGTCTTCTCGGAGTCGGGTTGTTTGGGAGTGCAGCCCAAAGCGGGTGGAAAACTCCATCTGAGGCTAAATACCGGCACGCAGCTAAACCGGAGCATCTCCTCCGTTGCAGTCAGTCGCTTCCCGCCCTCCATTTGGTCCTCGCGCGAAGTCAGGATCACGTGACTGAAAACCTCCAAGAACCAAGCAACATAAAATGAGACCATGAGGACCAAAAATACAAACATAAAAGAGTGAAGAAAAAAGGAAAATGTAATTATAAGGGAGGACGAAACAGGAGAGTAAATATAGAAGAAAATATCAACAATGATAATAAAATAATAACCGGAAACACTGATTATAAAAGTAAAACAGAGGAGAGATAAAACAATAAAAGGCCTTAAAGGTTAATTAAGAAAAGAGTAGGAGTTTAACAAAAGCTAAAAAGACAATAAACAAGAGAAAAGAGATGACAGATAAAGATAAAAGACATAAAATCAAGTCTGTAAAAGAGAGTTTTTAACTTTGACTTAAAGAAGCGTCTGTCTCTGCTGTTCACCTTCTCTCCTCTGAAGGTCGTTCCAAAGTCGAGGAGCTCTGATGGACAAAGATCGATCACCTTTAGTTTAGAGACTTTGGAACGACCAGAAGGACTTCACCAGAGGATCTGAGGCTGAGAGTTTTACTCATATGGGAGTAAAAGCTCTGAAATGGAGCTCAGAGCGAGTCCTTTGAGTGTTTTAAAAGTAATCAATAAAAGTTAGGTCAAAAGTGAGACTGTAATTCTGATGGGTCAGCTGGTAAAATGTCGACCCCAAACCGTGGTCCCCTGATTTTCTCCTCTCTTCTGATCCTGTAAATGTCTGACTGCTCTCTCTGTTCACAGTGATGTCAGCTGAGACTCGGGGTCCACGGGCGCTGCACTCAGGAGCTCCGTGGGAGACCTCCACCGCTGGAAAAGATGTTACAGTAATTGATAGCGAACAGAAATTTAACAACCTCTGAGTATTGATCATCTTATCCATCAGTGTGATCAGAAGTCACAGCAGTCCGTCGTGTTTCAGTCGTGTCAGCAGTGTTGGGGGGCAGATCTCCCTCAGCTTTATGTCTGTCTGCTGTTCTTCAAGAACTTTAATAACTCATGTGTGACTTTGAGCATTAAATTAACACTTCAAGTCTCCCAGTATATCACCTGGTGTTGAACATGTTGTCTCTGTAGTTCTGTCACTTGTTTCTGTTTTTAAAACCTGGTTTTTCTGCTCTCTCCAAACATCCACAACTATGCCACTGGCAGTGGAGTGAAAACCACCGTCTGAAAACCTCCAGCCAAAAATGCTGCTTCTTGGGTTTTGAGACAAAGTCAGAACTGGTCTGGAGGGACTGGGACCTGCAGAAACAGCTGACCAAGACCTTAGTGCTGAAGAATACGAACAAGAAGCTTCAGAAACTACATGTCAGGTCTTACAAACAGACATGGATGTACGTCTGTACATAAATGTGAAGTGAATGAGCACTCTCACAGTTCTCTTGTTTTGACCTCTTCACAGGCCTCCTGTTTCTAAGTTTTTCACCACCTTTATACCTCAGACCATCTTTCTCAGCCCAGGGACGTCCTTCTCCGTGCCCATCACCTTCAGACCGCTCCAGAGGGTAAAGACTTTGATAGATATACATCTTTTACAGCTGAGGATGGCTCCACCAAGCCTTTAAATGTGGTCTGGTGGACATAATGAGACAGCCGTCAGTTTTAGAGAAATGTCACATGACCCGTGTTTTCCTCTTTATCATCGATCTGATCGGGACAGTGCGAGTATGAGGACAGCATTGAGTTTCAGTGTAAAGATGGAACCTTCCAAGTACGCCTCCGTGCCACCGTCCCCTGTCCTGGGCTGGAGGTCCCAGACTCAGTCCTGCTACCCCTGTGTGCTGTTGACCACTCCTCACAGACCACCTTCACACTCAGTAACGTGAGGTAAGGGTGTGTGTGTGTGTGTCTGTGTGTGTTGTAGCTGGAAAATAACTGAAACTTTTGCTGATTTTTTTCTCTCTTTCCATGTTTTGCATCATTATTCATATGCAGTAAAGTACAGACGTGTTTCCAGTGGGAGTGCACGTCACCGTTTCACATGAGCCCTGAGCGAGGTTTGTTGAAACCAGGCCAGGACCATCAGATCACTGTGGTATTCCAACCAAAGGAGGCGCTGGTGTATCAGCAGCAGGCCTACTGCAGGTTTGATGAAGAGGAGGAGGACCGGGCTCAGAACGTCTGCTCTGTGCTCCTGCAGGGACTCGGTACTGATGCCGGCTGGTTCAGCAGATATACAGTAGTTTACAGTATAGAGGGACCAGTTTGACTGATTCACACCAGTATGGTCATTTTCACTGTGTTTGTAAATTGACATTTGATCCTTTTTGTTTTATCCCCCTCCGCTCCGGTCAATAACAACTGAATCTTTTCCAGCTGTTTGTTCCTTATTTTCATAGTTTTCTTTGTTTCATCACAGATTTATTTGTGCCCCTTGTATTATGAATATGTAGATGCTGTAATATTTTACTCTCACTTGTCTTGTCTTTGCTGTCTTGGTCAGCTAAGTACCCGTGTCTCCAGCTGAGAACTTCCAGGACCACGGCTGAGAAGCAGCTGCTGAGTCCAGAGCTGCACTTTGGCTCTGTGCCGATTGGCCAGAGTCTGCAGAAATGCTTTGACATTGTCAACCCCTCCCCTGTGAGTAAGGAGATACAAATGCAAAAGTACATCCTCGATGACCATCTCTCATATCACTATTCTCTCCCATTCTACAGGTGTGTGCGTCATTTTCAGTGTCCCCTCTGTCTGACCGTGAGCCTTTGTTGGAGTCTGTATTCAGCAGTGATAGGAGCAGGGGTGAGGTAGCACCTGGTGGCTCACTTCAGGTTACACTCACCTATACTCCAGCTGTGGTGGATACAACCTCTGTTGAGTATTTATCCCTCAAATGTAGAGGAGCGCTCAGTGAAACTCTGCTCAAAGTCACCGGACGCTGCATCGGTGAGGGCCACACAGAAACAACCACAATCTAAGAAGACTTTAAACTCCACTGTTGAATTTCCCTCCAGGGATCAGATCAAGTTATTCTTATTCTGTGTTCAGATCAAGATCGAACACGTACATATAATAAAATAATAACTTGTTGGTCAACAGGCCCCAGAGTGTCTCTGTCCTCCTCTGTTGTGGACTTTGGCTGCGTTGACGAAGGAGGATCAGTCGTACAGACGGTGGAGCTGGTCAATTCTTCCCCTGTTGAGGCTGTTTATCAGTGGGACCTGGACTGCAGTGGGCACAGTGTGTTCAGCATCCAGCCAGCAGGTGGCACCGTACAGCCACAGAGCCGTGTCACACTGAAGGCTGTTTATCAGCCTACACAGCCTATCGCCCATCACAGGACAGTTCCATGTCTCATCCTGCACAGAGTAGGTGATAAACGCAGACGCACACCTGCCCAAAGAAAAAACATCATGGAGGCTGTTCATCCTCTCTGTCCTCCTCACTTCTCCCACAGGAACCCGTGTTCCTGGACCTGATCGGAACCTGTCACTCTGAGCTCCAGAAACCCGTCGTGCTGAAACCTGAACACTTGGTTCTCTATAAGCTCAAGTGGGGCTGCAAACAGGACCCACCAGCAGCTCACAGCTCCGCGCAGAGAGACCAGCAGATACACCTGGACCAACAAGGAGAGCCGAGCCCCCCGCAGGAGGTGAAGTGCACGTTTAAGATGAGAGATAAACCAAACGTTCACTTACTAACTACCAACAATGAGCAAACATTCGGCCTCTTCTTCTCTCTGACATGTTTTTATCATTATTATTATCTCAACACTGGCAGCTGCAGCAGGACCCAAACACTGAGGGTGTTTTATCAAGAACTTCCACGGAAGAATATTTCCACAGGTGTTGGGGTGATCCCCTCCCTCTCAGCTCATCTTCTCCTCATGTATCTGTGGAGCCCAGTGAGCTCCTGTTTAATCACAGATCCTCTCTCACTGCTTCATGGACCTCCTCTCAGTCCGTGTCGATAACCAACCACACCAGTGGAAACCTCAGGTCTGTCTGTTCATCTTTATATAGTTTCATTTCTCCAATCTAAAGCACATGTTTATAGATACTGTTGTTGTTTTATTGTCATCCTGGGATTCAGCCTGGTCTGGACCCTGGCCCAGGACTCTCAATTCTCAGTCTCACCCTCATCATGTGACCTGGCTCCGCTTAAGACCACCTCATTCAGGGTGAACTATGAACCCACGCAGATCAACTCGCTTCATGGAGCACAGCTGGAGTGTTTTGCATATTTGAAGGTAAAGTTGATGGATAAAGATCAACATTTTAATTAATACAGGACGTTAAAATCAACCTTTGTGGACTGTGACGTGTTTTCATTCAACACTCTATCATCTGACTGTTCTTCATTCAGCAGGATAATCCCCTCTTGGGGGGTCAGCTGCTGTGTCCACCCTGGTCAGTGACCGTCAGAGTCGTCGGCCACTCCTTTCAGACAGGAAAAGAGCGTTTTGTCCCACGCTGTTCCCTGAAGCCCTCTCAGGTGGTACGATACAAACACAGACATGAACTTCAGAGTTTCAGTGAATCTTCATGTTCTTCAGCTGTTTCCTGAGATTTGTCTTCTTTATGAAGCTCCACCGTGCACCAACTATGGGGGGGCGGAGGTCAAAGGCCGTGTTCAAAATCAGCTTTCTTTATATTACACATTTTATGAAAATTCACCTGAACAGTCACCTGAACATCATCAGCAGAACAGTGAACAGGAACCCCATACTTCCTAAAAATCGACCCCGAGGACGGCATATAGAGGGAGAACAGTGGGGGGTCCATGAACGAACTTTGACCCTGTTAAACGGTCAGAGAGGATTCTCTGGTAACTTCAGTCTTCTGGTCCTTCCAGGTCTTCCCAGCCCACAGTCTTCTGTCCTACCACACAGTTCTTCTCCAGAACTGTGGAGAGCTTCCTCTCACCTTCTGTTTGGACCGGACCTCAGGTCCTGCTTTGGTAGACTCTGTGTCGGTTGTACCCAGCTGTGGATTGATCCAGCCATGGAATCACCAGATCCTTACCGTCAGAGCGACTCCCACAGGAGACAGTCCTCAACAGGAAACCAGATTACACCTCCAGCTGAACGCATCAGAACACACGAAGGTTGGAGACGCGCCGCACAGGCAGACAGGAAGCAGCGGTAATCTCTTCACACTTATTCAGTTCTCTCTAAATCTGGGTCCTGCAGGATCTGGTCGTTGTCCGTGTGGTGGAGAAGATCTGTTTGTCTCAGGAAGGAGATGGAAGTTTACATTTCCAGCCCACAGCTGTGGGCTCACAAACTCAGCGCTCCCACTCCATCTGGAACCTCAGCCGCCTGCCGTTATGGTTGGTTCCTGTCCTGCTGGATTTCCTTCAGTCCTCAGGTCCAGTTTTGTGGTCTGGATTCCTGCCAGAATCCTTCATCATCTGTTACTCTCGTCTGTTGTGATAGTTTCAGATGGAGCGTTCCAGAACCAGAACAGGAGCTGATCTGTGTGGAACCAGACGCTGGAGAACTGCAGCCAAACGAGCGATCAGTAAGAGACTGACAACGATCACACATAAATCACTGCGAATAAAGACTGACTGACAGAGAGACTCTGTGATGTTACAGGTTCAGACCTGGTCCTTCAGACCCCTGGAGGAAAGATCTCACACCCTCAAACCCACTCTCATATTCTGGCCAAAGCAGACACCTGAATCAAGATCTCAGCTGACCCTCCGAGCAGCTGGAGCGGGCGCCAAAGGCTTCATCAAGGTCCGACTGTCTGACACACACACATACAGGGAACACACACACACACACACACACACACACACACACACACACACTCTCCCTCTCTCTCTCTCTCTCTTCCTCTCTCTCTCTCTCTCTCTCTCTCTCTCTCTCTCTCTCTCTCTCTCTCTCTCTCTCTCTCTCTCTCTCTCTCTCTCTCTCTCTCTCTCTCTCTCTCTCTCTCTCTCTCTCTCTCTCTCTCTCTCTCTCTCTCTCTCTCTCTCTCTCTCTCTCTCGCCCAGTATGCGCTGAACTCTGCCTGTACGCTCGCTCAACATGACACAGCATTACACTGTGCCACAAAGTTGACCAATCAGGAGTCGGGCACGACAAATTCTGATTGGCTGATTGAATCCAATGGCATTTACTGCAGTACATCACCCTGGGACTCACCCGGCGTTGTGGTGTACTGCTGCTGTCTTCATCATTGCGTTCAGTCATGTCTGTGGTTGTGTCGTTCTGGTAGATAGTAGCATCACAGATACATGTAGAAGACCAGATATGACCATATGTGTATAATCGTGTTGATGTTTGTCTCTTTTCCAGGCGGAGAAGGAAGTTCTCGACGTCGGGGAGATTCTCATTGGAAGCTGTCGGTCTGTTGAGGTTCCTCTGGTGAACATCAGCCCATGTCCAGTCTCATTTCATCTCTGTGTAGAGCAGACCCTTCTAGATGAAGACTCTACTCACGGCCTTCACAAAGTACCCAGAGGTAGTCTCTTGAACGGTCTTATTTTGGTTTTGAATGGAAGTGTATCAGCTGATAGGGTGGAGGATTCAGAGCAGGTCAGGTCTGTAGACTGAGTCCTCCTGTAAATGACCTTTCTCCTACACTAAGTCTGCCCTCTGTTGGTCTCATAGACCTGAAGCTGGATCGTGAGAGGGGGACGATTGCCTCACACTCTACGATGCCCATAAGACTCACTGTGAGACCACATGGACCGGTCCAGTACCAGTGGATCATCAGCTACCAGACACTGAATGCTCGTGGTAGATGATGAAGGACACTCATGCACAGATCTAAACTCTGTGTACGCTGACTCTCAGACTGCTCACCTCTTTTATTCTGTCTTTGTCTCCAGGACATGTGTTGTCCCCTCCCACAGCAGTGTGCAGAGTTACTGCTCAGGGTGTGTTTCCCACTCTGAAGGTCACTGACGTCTGCGGTCGTGGCAGTGCAGAACGGCTCAGCAGGGTGCATCTGTGGAAACTCTTCTCACTGGACAGGTTCAATGAGTACCTGACCTCCAGTCCTGTTGGACTCAGGTACCGGACCCCCAAGAGGCTCAGGTGAGTCTGCAGACTGAACTGATACGATAAGAGAGAAGGATGTGATGGAATCTAAATGTTCTTCACATGTTAATTAAAGTGTGTCTGTCTGACCTGATCTGCTCCTCCTGTCTTCAGCGCTCGCTCCTCTCCTCCCATCGTCACCATGAAGATGTTGGACTTTAACTTCAGTGCTGCTCCTCTACATTCAGACCCCTCAACCTTTATGTTGATGTTTCATAACCCAGGCCCCCTCCCTGTGGACTGGTGAGGATGTGGTTTACAGGGCCAGGCTTTAGTCTTTATGTTTTATCCAGAGGTGCTGTGGTCTGAGAGGATTTTACCAAAATACAGTCCACCCTCATGAGCAGAAAAATGAACATGAGTCTTTTACAGGCAGTTTACTGATTCCAGCTCCTCTTCTCTGTTAGGTCGTTCTTGTTTCCTGAGGACCAGCAGATGGAGCTGGACTACTGGGCAGAGACGGGAGAGTTCAGCAGCACTGAGCTGTACCAGATGAAGGTCTGCTGTAGTTTATTTTAATCACATGAATGCAGGAGTTTGGAAAAACTACATCTTTAAAACAGACGTATATTTAGGAAGACTACAGTCTGGATTGTTTGAATGAAAGACGTGTTCACCAGGCTCAAATATCTGCCCCTCATTCAGGTTCAAGACAATCAGCAGTTCAACATTTTCCCTCGTTCTGGCACTTTGTTCCCCGACCAACAGAGGGCAGTATACTTCAGCTACAGGTGAGATTACTGCAGACCGGAGCACACAACTACCCACTCATTTATACTAAGTTACTCATGTTGGTAGAGGAGACAGCGGCAGGAAATCATTAGTGATTAGATTCTGGTTTAATTATTGACTCTCTGTTCATTTCTGAAAATATGATTGAACTGTGTTTTTCCCAGTTTGGGATCAATAAAGTCGATCTATCTATCTGTCTTTGATAGGAGACCGCAGCTGTTTTTGGCTTCAGTTTGACACATGATACTGACATGATCTTGAATTTGTCCTTCACAGTCATGACTTTGCAGGAACTGATCGGTTTCCTGTTGTGTTCAGAGTTTCTAACGGCAGCGAGATGATGGTGAGACAGAGCTCATCTGACGGAGAGTCTAAGTGAAAATAAGAGATGAAAGAAACAGGTTGATTTGATCGGTCTCAGAGTTATTTTTTAATCGTATTTATTCCTCCTAGAGTTGACTTAAAGGTATTTTCTTTTATATTTCTTCATATTTTCAGAATTTTCCCTGATAACTTTGAACTTTTCCTGCTTTTTGGATGTTTTTTTATTTGAACCCGAGTCATTTTAACCTCTGAAAAGGCTGAGAGGATTTTACACTTATACACTTATAATTATTTCAGATACAGTCTTCTCTTCATGAGCCCAAAATGAAAATTTATTGGGTTTATAGTTTGTTTTTCTTTGTGCAGCTGAACTTTCGGGGGGTGACGGTGGACAAAGATGAACCTTATCTCCACTTTGCCTCGAAGCATCACACCTTCACCTCTGTCCCTGTTGGAGAGAGTCATCCTCCAAGACAGGCCAGTGTGTTTCTTTAATATACAGTATATCTGGGGTGACTATAACCTCTAATAATATTCTTTACTGTCAGTGATGAAACATTTCACTCATATAGACAGAAACAGGGACTCCTGCTTCACGGCTCACCCCAGAATAACAGACATTTACAGACAATAACAAGCATTTTCATTTCTGTCCAGAGTGTCAGATTTTTGAGGTTTTGTACCAACAGACATCAGACTTTATAACTCTTCTGTAAATAGTGGATGACTTTTTAAAACATGACAACTGAGACGACAGACAATAAAGTTATTCTTATTGTTAGACTGTGATATAAATGTAATTAGAAGATCTTTGTTGTTGGTGTTTTTGCAGGTTTATGAACTTCATAATGGCGGTGCAGTGCCAGTACACTATCAGGTGGACAGAGCGATGTTACTGGAGCTGCAGGTGGACAACTTTAACCACTCACTGCTGCGCTGCATCAATCCAGAGGGGGTCGTCCAACCAGGAGGAACAGCCGTGCTAGAATGGATTTTCTCTCCGTTAGAGGCGAAGGTGTACCGTGTAAGTACTGAGGCAGCGTTCAGGGCTGAAATAGGCTCCTCCCCTCTGTACTATTGTGATACCAGGTAATAGATATTAGAACAAAAACCAGAATAACAAATACGGCAAATAAGGCAGATAAAACAAAGTTGTATGTCGTACTGCTCGGATTTAAAAAGGCTAATTTTATGGCCTGTTATTGTTTATTAATTTAGAAGAGAACAATCATGTTATTAATTAATTTAGAAGAGAAGAATCATGTTATTAATTAATTTAGGAGAGA